ACAGCACCGCTTTGACCCTTGCGCCCACCCACAATGCAAGTGGTTGACATCTTCCCACCAATTTCTTGGTTTAACCTCATTCTGTTGTTGCAAATGCTACCATTGTGTCCGAGAGCGTTAACTTGGGCAGTTTTCTTGGCTCGGCGTTTAGCGTGCTGGCTGGCTCTCTTTCTCGAGGGGAGGGGATGCTGGGAAACAACATATTCACTTCTGTTGACTTTTCTGTTTTTTTAGGAGAGATTCACATAACGTACCATTAGCCATTTTAAAGTATGAACAATTCAGTGCCACTTAGCGCATTCACAGTATGATGCAAATGATCACTTCTCTCTAGTTTTCAAACTTTTTTTTTTTTTTTTTTTTAATCGCTCTAGAAGAACATCCTGTACCCTTTAAGCCATCATTCCCCACCACGGCTTCCTCCGTACCCCGGCAACCACTAATCTGCTTTTGCTCTATGGATTTGCCTATTCTGGCAAATAAAATATGGGACTTTTTGTCTGATTTCTTTCACTTTTTTGTCTGATTTCTTTCACTTGTCATAGTGTTTTTGAAACTCATCCACCTTGTGTCATTTGTCAGCACCTCCTCCCTTTTAATGGCTGAGTAATATTCCATTGTAGCATTATATCATTTTGTTTATCCATTCATCTCTTGATGGGCATTTTGGCTGTTTCCACCTTTTGGCTTTCATGAATCAAAGTGCTATTAATTCGTGTAGGAGTTTCTGTGTGTATATATGTATTTATCTTGGGTGTATACCCAGGAGTGGAATTGTTGGGGTTTATGGTAATTATATGTTTAGCTCTTTGAGGAACTGCCAAACTGTTTTCCACAATGGCTGAACCATTTTCCATCCCCACCAGCAGTGTAGGAGGGTTTCAGTTTCTCCATATCCTTGCCAACATTCTTCTGTTTTTTATTATAGCCAATATTTCAACAAATTGAGCTCAATTTAATTATAAGAATTTTCCTATGTTATTAAAAATTCGTTGAAATCATCATTCAAATAACTATTTCCCATTTTGGTTTTACAACAATTTTATCATAATGTTTATCTTATTATTATTGGACACAGTTTACATCCAAATTTTAATTACTACTACTACTACAATAAATGTTCTTGTACATAAATCTTTGTCCATATTTCTCTTCTCTAGTCTCTAGAATATATTTTCAGGAGTGGAATTACTTGGTAAAGTGGAATTACTTGGTAAAATAGTATGGAACTTTTAAACCTTTTGATATTACCAAATTACTTCCCAGAAACATTACACTGATTCTAGTATGGCATATACTGAGTATATAATCACTTAAAAATCTTTGGCAAAAGGAAGTGGTAACTTATTTGAAATTTGCACTTTGCCAATGAAATGGACTTTAAGTCTATTGTTTATTTGCATTTTTAAATGAATTGTCTTCTATCCATATTTTTATTGTTGTGTTTAGGCTTTTTTTGATTTGTAAGAGTTCTTTAACATTAAGGATATATATGTGATAAGCTCAGTAAGGAAATGGAGGCCTTGATCAATGCACCAACTAGACCTAACAGACATGCATAGAACCTTCCACCCAACAATAGCAAAATACACATTCCTTTCCTGCACACATGGAACATTCTCCTGGATGGCCCACATGTTAGGCTACAGAACAAGTCTCAATAAACTTAAAAAGACTAAAATCATACAAAGTATGTTTCATGTAAACTACCTGGACTTTGGGTGATAGCAATGTGTCAGTGTAGGTTCACTGATGTTGACAGTGGGGGGCTGTGTGAGTTCAGGGGGCAAGGCATATGTACTTTTTGCTCAATTTTGATGTGAACCTAAAACTCTAAAAAAGTCTATTAAAAATTAATAACCGGTGTGCTAACATAATAAAAAATATATATACCAAGGCACATCCAACAATGCATCTGAATTCAATGTTTTTATTAATAGGCAGATTATTCAATATTCAACAAGTATTCAATCATACCCTGAATGATGGAAGCTCCCCCCACCCCGTCCCCAAATTTCTTCTTATACTTCAAGTTTGGGGCAATGAAACTGCCCAGTAAAATGGAATACCCCATGGGGAAAAGCGGAGGCTTCGTCCCCTCAAGCCCTTTAGAGAGCAGAACCATGAAGAGTATGTAGAAAAGGACCGATCAGTCTAAGTGTTCACTTAAACCCAATGTCCTTTAGGAGAGAGAAGACTAAAATGCTCAGGCCAGACTACCATCGAAATTTCTGTGTAATTGTCAACTGGGTCCTTCTGGATTAGGGCAGGGCAGGCATGCCCGTCTCCGTGGGAAACCCTCCACCCCAAGGGTGATGGCATTTGAGAATGGACTGGCAATGCTGCAGCTGAGTCTAGCAATGCTATTTGTTCCTAGTAAGCAGACCACCCATCAGGCTGCCCGGCTGTAAAGCTGGAGCTGTAGACTGGGTTCAAACCCAGATACATGCTTCAAGACTTTTGGAAAGAGGTGTTTCAAATGAGTCATGTGCTAAAACTTGTAGGCCCATTCAAGAGTTGGTAATAACTCAAGTTGGTTAAGACATAACCACATTCAAACAGCCCCCTTTTCTGGCATGTTATCTGTGCAACGCCTGCTCTGTGAAAAGTAAAGTTACAATGTCCAGATGTGACCCTCTGAGGTGTCAGGTTACTTCTGTTCCTCCAAGAACACCAATCGTCATAGTGGGAGAGCCCACCTCTCAGCACGAGTCTGCTCTCCTAGTCCACAATGGCTCCACTCGGATTCCTGTGCATTGACAGGTCTGCAAAATGTGAAACATCTGGGTGACCAGTTTAGTTTTAATGGGCAGCAGGTGCAGGGTTGGGACTACTTCACTGACCCAGGAAAAATTCTGGACAATTCCAGTATCGGGTCAAACAACTGTGTTTATCAAATAAAGCCAATGAAGGTGTCAGTGTCCCCATGAGAGTCTGTGGAGACCCCAGCTAACCAAAGTTGATTAAATGTTGAACCCCAGGATTCCAGGTCAGAAATTGAACGAACCCACCAAGGTAAACCCAGTATGCACACTGGAGACCAGTGCACACTTCAGGCGACATTCTTGGAGTTGCTGGATTGTAGCAGTCCAGCAGCCTTGGTGATTCAATGTCATCAGGACAGGGTCATCATTTTACTTGTCCTGTGCGGTTGTCAACCCAGGTTCACACCAGCCCTTTCTTCAATTTGCCTTGAATACAGGCCAGTTACAAGGACTCACTATTCTTAAGAACTGAACCTGTTTGTTTCTGATCGGGGAGGAAGAAACGAGGTCTTGGGACCTTTGGGCAGTCCTGCCTAGACCTTAGTTGCCAGGTGAGAATTTTTTTTTTTTCTGGGAAAAGTGGTCATGGTTACCTGCCACTAGGGGAGCAGGGCTCTGCCCAATGTGGGCCGCTTAACTCTCAAGAGGTAACATAGTTCTGTCCTAACAAGGAAAGGGGATACAAATGTTAGGCGCTATTGTACTCATGACCTCACATTGTGTCAAGATTTTCCTACACTTGCTACTTTATCAACTCCCCACTGAGAAGTTGAGGCAGTCTCAGGGTGACAAGCTAATGGGAAAGTGGTAGCTGTTTATCGTCGTGTTGTCCTTGCAGGTAGGATGGAAGCAGGAACCAGCCTGTGGGAGCTGGAGTGGGCAGGGTACCTCCAGTACTGCTTAGATTTGAAACATTCAAGGAAAGAAACTTGAGGTGAGACCTGAAAGCCTGTTCAGCTCTTGAGTCTCAAGTCAAACACAAAAAGGGACTTTGGTGATAGACCCTTGATTCATGTGTCTCTTGGAGTCCTAACTTTCACTCTTGCCTTATAAAACCAATTAATAAGTTAAGGTCTTGGCAAGGAAGAAGACCCCACTGATCACAGACCAAGAATTCTCCTGGGAGACTCTCCCCGCTTTTCCCAGCTTAAAACACTCAAGCTATCAAGGCAAATCTTGGGACATGAATCACAGTGACAAGTGAGACAATATGATTATGGGAGCAAAAGAAGTGTCTGGAATCCTCAATAGGGCAAAGTTTAGAATGATGGGTGTGAGCTTTCCCTGCCGGAAGCTCAACTGCAGCCAGTGGCCACAACCCGCAGGAGGCAGGGGACCAAAGGAGAACATGTGCGTGCCCAATATTTTGTTGTCCTGTTCACAACTACGGGAATTCCTATATGAGGATGCGGAGAGGAAAGCTGGAAATCAAATCTGTGTCCTTTATTCCACCTAGTAGGTGTACCGAGGAGCCATATGCTGACTCCTGTCTCAACAGGCTGCTGGAAGGTTCACTGCACCCGAGGCACACAACTACTTGGGCTTTGCTCTCCAGACAGATGGTGTAGGGCTAGGCAACGGGGAACAGCTGAACCCTGAGGCAGAGTCCCCCAGCCCTGAAGGGGAGTGGAGAGTAAAGAAGTAGGACCATGACAGAGGGGGCAGTGAGAGGCCTCAAAAGACTGAAGTTGGGCATCCGGAGGTGAGAGGCCTTTCTGCCCAGCCCTCACGTCCAGTGACAGGCATGCCCAGGCTGTGGGCTGAGGTGAAGCTGCTGTTGCCCACTGTGGTGCGACATTCTTCCGGAGGCCTCTTTCCTGTTCCACTGGGGCTAGAGTCTAGGAGCAGGAATCCTTCATCAGAAGAATGCAGTTTTCACTCAGTGGACTCCCACCGTTCTGGAGATGAGCTGTCTGGGGCTTTGGGAGTGAGATGGAAGGAAGTGGAGAGCAGGAGACAAGAGGGGGCGACAGAGGTCAGCAGCCCAAGGACAGAGGTTGGGAGCTACATGCAATAGGGCCAAACGTTCAGTGAGATCATGGGTAGGAGGCTGAGAGATCTCTGGGCTCAGTCCCCACCGAAGAGGGAGGAACTGGGGCCAAGGCCACCGGCCAGTCCCTAGGAGACAGAACTCAGGCACCAAGTAAAAAAGCGGCCTATGCCTCTCTGTCCTCTACCCGTCAGCAGTCTCAGACGGCCTGCCCCAGACAGCACTGGGGGCGAGGCGGGCAGGACCTAGTGCTGGGAGATCGTGGCAAGTGCCCAGTCCAAGAAAGCCATGGTGATGTCCTGTAGGCGGAGCCAGACCCCGCGGGCAGCCTCACTGAGCTGTGTCTTCACGCAGTCCCAGGTCACTTCACCTCTGGGAGGAAAGCAGAACACGTGTGGGAGTGGGGAAGCAGCGCTGTGTTGAGTCACAGGGTCGCAGCTCAGACCTACAACCTGCATCCCAGAGTGGCCAAGAGATGTGCGAGGGGTGGGGCGGGGCACGGTGAGAGACCGAACGAGAGCCTCGTCCCTGGGGAGAGGGCAGGGGCTCTGGGGCTCCTGCTGGAGCTCGAGATGAGGGCCTCTCTCACCTGCACGCCTCGTGGCAGTGCTCCTGGGCCCGGGCCAGGGCCTCCAGTAGTATGTGCCACCATGGCAGCAGTACATTCTGGTAAAGAAGCACGAGCAGCTCCCTCAGAGACTGCAGCAGCTGCACCAGGGTAGCGGGGAGCTGGATCTGAAGTTGGAGCACAGAGACCGGAGGGGTTAGAGTGCTGGGAGAATGCATCCTGGCCCCAAGGACCCGCTCCATGTGGGGATGCAACTTCCAGCCCCTGGGGAGACCAGCCCTTCCCTGAACTCCCTGTCTCTGGCTTACCCTCTGGAAGAGGCTGGTGAGGCTGTCACCAAACCAGGCAAGGTGGGAGGCACAGTGGGCAGAAAGAACACTGACAGTGGCACTGGTGTGGGCCCAGGCCAGCTGCAAACCGGGCCTCACCACAGCCAGCAGGTGGGAGCCCCAGGCCGGCAATGTCTCCTCTAGCCAGCTGTGGGAGAGGACGGGGGGAGAAAGGAAGGCTGAGTTTCCTCAGATGGCTCGGCTCCCCAAGAACAGCTGCGGGGGCGGGGGGGGGTAGGGAGGCCTTGGGAAGGGAAAACTGCCATCACTTCCCACTGATGCCGTCACCACCCCGAACACCAGGCCCTGTCCCTCCCACCTTTCTCCCCTCCCCAGGAGCTCACCTGTAGCCCCGCAGGCTGTAGGAGTAGACCCCTGCACACACTTGCTGGCCAGCAGGCAAGAACCCAGATGATCGAAGCAACCGGCCAGAAAGGGAGGCTGCGTAAAGGGGGCCTCTGGTGAGCTGGGGGGTGAGGGGGGCAAGGGAGTGGGGAGACAGACACGACAGGCCCCAGAGTGGGGCTCGTGAGGGATGGAGAACTCATGTGCTCCAGTCTGCGCCGGAGCACGCTCACTCAGAGGGAGGGACGCAGGCCTGGGGCGCCGAGCCCATTCCTCCTGCTGGGCCCGGGGAACAGGAGGGAGGCAGTCAGGTAGGTGCCAGGAAGCCTGGGGTTGGAGGGTCCGCCCGTCTACTTACCAGCTGTGACCTTAAGCGAATTGCTAAATCTGACCCTCAATTTCCTCAGGGGTTAAAAAGGAGACAGCACTTGAACGGGACCATGAATACACAGACACTTCTGCACGGCAAAGCCAACAGTGCAATCTGAAGTTGCGGACAGAAAAGCCTGTCTTCTGTAGCATCAGGGCAAAGCTATGTGATAGGGCCAGTGGGTGCTGCACCTGGCTCTGGGCCTCACCCTCACACTATCGCCCTTGCCTGCCAATTCTTGCTCACCCTGGAAAGAGCTGTGCGACCGGAAGTCATGGCACAGGAAACCGATGAGAAAGATCAGGACCAACAGGAGTAGCTGTGTCCAGTGCAGCCGGTAGCCCCGCGCCTGCTGCAACAGGCCCTGTGAGAGAGGCGGCAGGAAGCGGTGGTCAGAGGGAGCGGGTGATCTTGCCTCCAAAGGAAGAGGATCAAGCCCTCCCATGACCGCGGAGGCGGCGGTGGGGGCTCGTGGGGGCACTGAGAGTGGTGTCAGCGAGCGTGCGGCTCGGGGAGGGCTGGGTGCCGGCACCTTGCAGGCCATGTCGCAGGCAGCGGCGTCCTGACTGCTGCAGCTGCCCTTCCTTAGCAACTCCTGGTTGGTAAGCTTGAAGGACTGGATGGTTTCTCGCAAAGACTTCTGCGTCTGTAGGATAAGAAAGTCTGGGTTGAGAGGATAACATTTAGTCTGTAAGGGAACTCTGAGCCTCCACCCTGCTTTGCTGTCCATGCCAAATGCACGAATACAGTGCCTTCTCAGCAAAGGGAGGGCGGTGGTTGAGGGGTACGAACCCAGAACCAAGACGAGGCTCAGCCTGCCATGTCCTCCCAGCTCCTCACCTTCTTGGGAATCTGCTCCCAGGACCTGAGCAGGTGCTCCAGCAGCAGGCTATGGGGAAAGCACAACCCCTTCCAATCAGGGGGCCACTCAGCCCCTCCCATCCTCCAGTCCCCCATTAGGCTCTGGCTCCTTCACTTCCCTCCCACAGTGAGCAGCTTACTAGAGGCCACCCCAGCCATGTTCCCAATTTGAGAGGCACAAACCCGGAAGACAGTGACAAATGTTCCCCTTCTGCTTCTAGGCCAGGGACAGGCTGGGAAGCACAGATTAAGGCTTCTCTGTATGGATCAGAGGTGGGCAGCCCCCCAACCCCACCTGCCTGGACTGTGACAAGTGCTTGGGGTACAGCTGCCTCCAGACACTGGCGCTGAGGGCGTCCACCGTCAGGCACTCGGTCAGGCTGCTCAGGAGCTGCACAGGGGACAGGAGAGACTGCTGGGGCCTGGGGCTGCTGGAGGGGGAGAGTGCCGCCCATGCAACACACCCGCCCCAAAGGATGGGGAAATCATGCCAAGACCCCAGAAATCTCTGAGCGTCCACAAGGGAGAGGTGTGGCTCCCAAGCTAGAGCTTGAGCTTGAAGATCACTTGTCGACAAGAGGCAGGCCACGAGAGACCAGCCACACCTGATCGTGCACCCTTTCAGCTCTGTCCTTGTGGGGGGGCACACGAGTGAGTGGGACAGGTGGCTGTCAGGAGTGAGCTAAGGGGAGGCCCAGGAAACAGGTTCTGTGAAGGCAGGGCCCCTGGCAGCAGGTAGGAAGCTCTGTGGCGGCCTCCTCTTACTTCCTCACCTCTTTCTTCATCTCAGGAGGGCAGCTAGGGGTGGCTCTGGACAGGAAGGAGGGGAAGTACGTATGCAGGGTGGATTCCGGCTTTGCCCCAAATGCCAGCACCTTCAGTCGGGGGTAGAGCTGACACAGCTGCTCCTGCAGGCTGGGGGTGGGGGTGGGGAGGAGAGCCAGACACAGGCTCTAAATGGAGCTATGTGATGTGCCCCTTTGCCGGCCTGCGGGAAGGGTGTCGCTAAGGGCCTTATAATGGCTCGGAGTCTTTTCAGACTCAGAGACTCCTTGGAAAATCTGTTGGAAGTCATGGATCTTCTCCCCAGGAAAATGCCCATACGCCAATCACACTTGAGGGTCCATACAATTTTAGGGGGTTCACCGATTGCTTGAACTTGCCCTGATTGCTTGAACTTGAGAATCTCAGATTTAGGGTGGTTGGAGGAGAAGGGACAGGAAATATCCTGCCTGCTCCTGACCCACTGCTGGGATCCTTCACAGCAGGTGTGCCCCAGGGCAGTCCTACCTGGGTGTCAGGGAGTTGTTGGGCATGTAGGCAAAATCCAGAAGTGGGAAGAAGTCCTTGGGGCCAATCATGCCGAAGCCCTTGGTGAGGTTGGGGTGCATCCTAAGGGGGAAAGGAAGAAACAGACTTGCTGGAGACTACCAGGTAGGCCGTGATCCCAGCTAGGGAAATGGGCATGAACTCAGCCTCACCCCCTACCCCTCCATGGTTTCCTCCCTTTCCTTCCTCACCATCACGTTCTGATTGGGAGGAGCTGGTCCTGGTTTTCCTCACATCTATGGACACCAGGATCACAGCACCCCATTTTGCTCAAACAGTTACTTTGGACCTAATGGGCCTTCCTGGCTGACACCACCCCCCGCCCCTGACCCCCGGCCCAATTACTCACAGGAGCAGCCGATCCAGGTATGCGATGGCGAAGGGAGACAGAGACTTGATGCCCAGCACAGGCAGCATGATCCCTAGCCACACTGAGGAGACAAAGGTCAGGGAGGAAGCCTCACGCCTGGACCCACTGGGGAGGTTAAAGAGGAGCTTCCTGCCTCCAAGACCATCCCTCTCTCCTTCCCACTTCTTTGTTACCTTTCAGTCCTTCAGTGAGGTTGGTAAAACCTGCTTGACCCAGGGCCCACATGATGGTCAGACATTTTGCTGGTCGGCTCTGATGAGACCTCAGCAGTTCCAGGAACTGAGGAGACCAGTGGGAAAGGCAAGCTGCAATAGGGCAAAACACCAGGAGCACCCCCAAGGCCAGGCAGGGAGAGAAGGGCCAGGCCACGGAGCAGCACAGCACTGGAGTAGCACAGGGTAGTGATTCAGAGTGTGCACTCTGGCACCAGGCTCTGCATCCTTGCCACTTACTAGTTCGCTAACTAGGAAAGTTACTGAACCCCTCTGTGGCCCAATCTTCTCATCTATAAAACAGGAATAACAGCAGTACCTACCTCATATAGAGATAAAGCATACCCAGAGCAAATACTAGCAGTGTTAGCTATTGTTACTGGTCTTCCAGCATCTTCCATTATCCCTTAGTTAGGCCCAACAGTGTAGATTCACCCAGCCTCCCTGGTCCTAGCTCCCCTGATGTCCCCACCACCACCTGAGCTCACCTTGCCCAGGTTCATGGTGGCAATCTTGGGCTTGTCTTGCAGAACGGCCTGGATACAGATGCGGTAACCATGTAGTGACTCCCCTGGAGAGACAGGTGTTCTCAGACCTACATACATTACTTGGTACCCCAAACCTGAAATCTCCCTTCCAGCAGCTGTGAGCCCAGAACCCAGGGCCAGTGACTCCTAACTTCTTCCTCTCTTTCCAAAAGAGTATTGAGATTAGCACATTTCTTTGCTGGAAACAGAACCACCCGGCCAATCTGGAAGTAGGAAAAAGGGAGTAGAAGGTTCCCAATATGGGGTGGGGCTATCCCTCACAAGGGGTCCCCTCTCACCTGGTGTCTTATCCAGCTCTTGCAGCATCGTAAACAAACAGTGGTCAAAAAAGAGCTCCAGAGACCCCGCTGCCTTGGCCAGCAGCCCTCGGATGATCCCACGCAGCTCCCGGCTTACCAGACTGTAGGGATAATCTGGGGCCGAAAGGCCTCCACATGAGTGCTAGGACCAGGAGCCTCTGCCGGCTCTGAGGGCCCTGCTGCACTCCCCAAGAACGGTGAATGCACACAGAGGTCCCTGCACGAGGCTGGCAGCCTCCCTAGCCCCATTGAGGCCCACTCTCACAGCCGTGATGACTTGAGAACAGCTTGAATCACGCACATAAATCAAGACAGTGGGGGGCACTGGGCTCTGTTACTGACTAATGTGCTTACACACAGCCTTTCTAGAATTTCTTGAACTTATCTAATTTTAGGGAGTTGGAAGAACTAACCGTGAGTATGCTGGCTTAGTGTGGGTTCAGTTAGAGGCGCTTGGAGCTTGTAGTTGAGATAGCTGGCCAGGTCCTTTAACCACACGGATGGGTTCCCAGAGAACACGCTCTGGCTCTTGTCCAGTTCCTTCTGCAGAGCTGCTATGTCCAGCTGCCAGGGACACAGGCCCCCCCCCCCCGTGGTGAGTTGAGTGAGCAGAGGTAAACAGGATAGAGGTGGGAAAATGGTTAAAGCAGGTGAAGGTAGAAGAACAAAGGATTCCTGCTTTTTAAATGTTAAGTATGTGGAATGCCACAATATCGCTGCATCTGATATTTAGGAAACAGCACAGCTGGGATTGCTGATCTCAAGGCCCAATACTCTTAAGCCCTTCACATGTTCAAGGGGACCAGATGGAAAATGAAAGATTGCTGCTTCCACGGGGCGAGGAGCCACAGCTGTTTCTCTACCCCCTCCCCGATATCCCTGAGTATTCAAGGCTCTCCTTGCACTAATCTAGGTTTCCCTATAAACTTATTTCTTCATCTATCTTAAATGCAAACATTCTATCCCTTGGGGTTTCTGCCCTTTCCTGAGCACCTCCTCCCAATCAATAATGTCCCAAATTCCACGGGTCCCTCAGTGGCCTTCCCCCCTTCCTGCTCCTTTCATCTTCTCTACACCTCATGTCCCTGTCATCTCCCCACCTCAAGTCTAGGTACACTCACAGCTTTCAGTGCCTCTTCCAGGCTGCGGAAGCGACCCTGCTTCTGGTTTTGGTTGGTGACGGCTGCCACCTTCTTAGTCTGCTTCTTGTTCCCTGGTTTCTTAGGCTCCACAGCAGGGGGTGGAACTTGCTCCTTATTCTGCCGCTTCAGGATTCTCTCAAAGCCCCGCTCGTAAAGGGTGCTTGTCGTCTGGATTGGAGCTGGGGTAATGACAGGCAGACAAAAGGTCATGAGGGCCCTTGAGTCATGAGGGACTCACAGGAACAGTGGTCCCTTCCCCCACATTGTCACCTAATTCATCTTCAGCGAGGAACCTGAATCAAAACCCCTTCTTGCTGTCATGCTTAAGGAGCAGGGTGGGAAGCCCTCCTGCTTTCAGTCATGGCAGCTCTTGAGTTCACAGGCTCTTTCACAGAGATAAGGCATTTCTTTATTAGATAAACCAGAGTATGTGGGAACTAGTGGAGGAATCGCATACAGAGGGCTGGCTTCCTTGGTGAGTGGCTACCAGTCCGGGAGGTCAGGCCTTTTCCATCTGGGTTCCAGTGTGACAACTCTCTAATCAACAAGTGGCAAGCTTTCTCCACTCCTCCAGGAGACTTTGGGGAGACAGGCACCACTTACAATGCTCGGTAGGTGTCGAGATTGAGGCCTCCCGACGGTCCGTCCCCACCCCTCAACACTGCTGGTTACTCAAGGAGGCGGCACCGGGTACAATGAAGGATGCCTCTCCCCAGCTCTCAGACACCTGCCCAGGGAAGCCAGGCTAGGGCCGGGAACAGCTGGTAGAGCGTGTGTGCAGACCGCAGTCCTGGTCCCCTCTGACATGTGATCCTGGGAAACGCATCTAACTCCACTGGGCCTCAGTTTACTCATCGGCGAGGCGAGGACAGCTCCCTCCCAAAGCGGTCTACCTCTTGTGAGGCTCAAGAGGCAACGCGCGGTAGCTGACCGGGGGGTGCCGACGGGCAGGAGAGCCCAGGGGCTCGGGTGGCTGCTCCCTACCTCGCCGGAGGGGCAGGCCCGGGGCCGGGTGGCGACGCGGGTGACCGGCCGGGTGGGTACTCACGGGTCAGGTCGTATTTCCACACACCGTTCGCCTCCCCGAGAGCCCGGCGGTCCCCTCCGCCGCTTCTACCATTGCCGCCAGCCCCGGGCCGCCGCCCCTTCTTCACCACCTCCCAGCGTCCCCCGCCAGCCGCCTTAGCTGCCATGGCTCCGACCCTCCCGCCACTGCCACCTCCCCTGGCTTTCCGGTCTGGCGCGGACGCGCCGCGCTCTGCCACGTCTCCTCGCAGGGCCTCGCGGCGCGCGTCGCCGACCGCAAGGCAGCCTGGGACTTGTAGTCTTTCGTTTTCGTTGGGTTATCCTTAGCGAGGGATCGGGTAGGGGCTCGGGGTTCCTTCCTAGCAAAAAACATCGAGGCAAAGATGTTGAGATGAGAAGCTACTGCATTCAGAAAATCTTACTTGAGCGCCTACTGTGTGAAGGCCACTGCCTTGAGTGACTCAGAAATTTAACTGTTTTGGGTTTTCTTCCCTTTCTAGTGGTGCTGAAAGATGGAATGGAAAGTTCTCCTTTCCTCCGGGGAGGGTTTGAAGATTAAATGCTTTCGTCCTTCTAGGAAAGTGCTAGCTTCTTTGTTGCTAGTGGTTAAACTTTTGAGTTATTGGGCTATAAAAATCTAGAAGAACAAGGAAGAGGGCGGAGCTTGAGGGAAGGGGCACTGTTTGGAGGGCAGGAAATGGAGAGTGGAGACCCCTTCTGATAGGAGAGAAAAGTCTGGGGTTCTGGGACAGCCAGGGCTGTTTCCCCTTCCATGTAATGGGAAAGAATGGCTCTGATTTCCACGGCAAGAGGCAGTCCCAAGTCCCAGATGTGGCAGGGAATAATCAAGAGCCCCGGACCTGAGGAACCACTCCAACAGGTTAGTGCTGACATTCACTATCCCTGGAGGGCCTTCCACCATGCTTGTAGTACCATGTTTAAAGCATTTAAACATTCCAGCAGAGGAGGATGAGGGAAGGAGAAATGAAAGTAGTTTATTACAATTAAGGAAATGTGTTATTTCATGTATGCTCCTATATCTGAGGATGAGATTCATAACTGCCATACTGAGGTGCAAGACAGGCAAGCCTTTATAGTAAGAACTAATAGAGTCCAAATTCCTGCAGATGAACTGAGGAGTGATGAGTTCCTTAGGAAGGAGATTAGAAAAAGCTTCCTGAAAGAGGTGGCATTTGAGATGGGGAAGGGGAGAATTTTTACTGGTTGGGGATCAGGACAGGTGGGGAGAACAGTCCAGTTGTATGGATTTCCTGATTTAAGCGATGGCCTAGGGGTGGGACACGACAGGGCAAAGCTGGGAAACTGGAAGTAGTTCAGCGTGGTGGTGCTTAATGGGATTTGGGAAGTGAAGAATGTTGGAAAGGGATCGGAGCCCATATGCTGTGGTCTGCTGCATTTGGACTGGGAGACCAGTGAGAAAGTGGCATGAGCCACTGTTTTGGAAAGATAAATGGGGATATGTGAAGGAGGGGGTGGGAGTGGGGTGGGGGGAAGGCAGGAGATGGGAGGTGACCAGCTCTTGCGGCCTCCTGCCTGTCCTCCAGCCCCTTCTGGTCTGATTGCGGCTGACTTTGCCTCAGGTCGCTCTGAGATAGAGCGCCTTTGCGAAGCACCATAATTGAACTGATCATGATTCAATTCATTTTTCAGATCATTGGTTTAACTCTACTCAGGGTCTAACAACAATCTCCCCTTTGCTCAACCCTTCTGTGTCACGTGTATGGCCACAGAGGAGACACTGTTTTCTGAAGAGAAACAGAACGAGCTTTCCACAGAGGCAAAGAAGGGGTCTGCTCCATGGTGGAGACATTTAAGAGGGTGGGAGGGACTTTCTTTGCTGTGTTTCCTTGGATTGGTCTGGCAGGTCATTGGTTGTACCTTGGCATCTAGGGGTTAGGAGTCATTTATTTTTCCTGGAGCATTTCCTAAGCACCTTCTCTACCTAAGCACCTGGCCCTGTGCTAGGCGCCAGGTGCTAGGCAGAGCGGGAGGATTCGCCTCGCTGGCTTGGGAGGAACTTGAAGCCTGTGTGGGAGACACATGTGTAAACAGAAGATTACAGTTCATTATCTTAAGTGTTCCTCGAGAAAGACACACTTAGCATGAGGGTCCTGGGAAGAGGCGGAGGAGGCAGTGGCTTTATACCCCTGAACTCTGGGTGTTCTAAGAGCAGCCTTAGACACTAGCCATGGACGTGCGCTGGGGCAGGTACCCACCCACATACAAGGGAAGGGTTAGAAGGTACCGCAGGCCCAAGGACTAGCAAGAACAAACTAGCAAGGGCTTTGAGGGAAGAATCAAAAGATGTGGGGGACAGGCAGGTGTCTAGTGTGGGGGCAAGAAGAAGGGTGAGCCCACTGAAGCACAGTTTGACCTACTGCGTTAGCTTTCTATCGCCTCTGTAACAAATTGCCAAAAACTTAGTGGATTAAAACAACACAAATTTATTATCTTACAGTTCTAGAAAGCGAGAGTCTGTCTGGGTCTCACTGCGCTAAAATACCATGTCTGCAGGGCAGTGGTCCTCTTTAGGGGCTCCACGGGAGTATCTGTTTTCTTGCCTTTCCCAGCGTCTAGAAGCTGCCTGCTTTTCTTTGCTCAGGCCCCTTCCATCTTCAAAGCCAGCGACAGCAGACTGAGTCCTTCTCACATGGCATCACTCCGACCTCCTCTTCTGCCCCCCTTCCACTTTTATGGACCTTGTGATTTCACTGGGCCCCGTCTGGATAACCCATCATACTCCCCTTATTTTAAGGTCAACCGATTAGTGATTTAATTCCACTTGGAATCTTAATTCCTCTTTGCTATGTAACCTAACATGTTCCCAGCTCGGGGAATTATGACACAGATACCTCTGGGGGAGGCATTATTCTGCCTACCACACCCACTTTGACGGCAGGGTGAGGTCTTGGCCTGAAGATGAACTTTGGGTAACACAGAACAACTACTTTATCTTCTTATAGTATCTACATGGAATAATAGAGGGAAAGCCCTTTAAAATTAGGCAAGGGAGGGGTGCCTGAGTGGCTCAGTGGGTGAAGGGTCTGATTCTTGGTTTCAGCTCAGGTCATGATCTCAGGGTCCTGGGATGGAGCCCCGTGTCAGGCACTGCACTCAGCGAGGAGTCTGCTTGGGATTCTCTGTCCCTCCTCTCTCTCTTAAATAAATGGATAAATCTTAAAAATTAGGCAAGGGAATTAAAAATCATAAAAATCAATAAAAGCAGGCAAGGAATTGTTGGGGGAGAAAAACAGAATAGGGTCAGAAGTATCTATGTTGGGGTGGGAGTCAAAAAGAGGAGGTGAAGTGAATGAGGGATGAACAGACATGAATTGCTTCTTTAAGGCTTCTATCTGGAGTCATCAGAGAAATGGTGGTGGCCTGGAGGAGGCGCATGGAGCAGGGTCATGGAAGAAACAAGGCCCCAATTTGAACATATTCAGGATGGTGAGGAAACACCTACCAGGACTCCCAGCCCTCACCTAGAGAACGTTCTGGAGGTCCCACCTCTGTGGTCTTTGGGGATGAGCGCTGAATCATGAGTCAGGAGGTCTGAATTCTAATCCAGATTTTTACCACCTTGAGAAAGTTGTGTCACATGCAGGCCTTGGTCCCTCCATCCGTAAGTGAGGGGGCTGATCAAGATGATGGCTTTGTTTGAGCGGGCCTGGTTCACACATTCATTTCAGTGCCCTCCGTCCCTGTTGGGCTTCCAGGATATTCTTACTATGGCCCTTTGCTGGGGCACGCCCCACGAAGGTAGGGCTATGTGGATGATGTGAAAGGCTTGCTGACTCCTGGTACTCATTAGAGCTTGTTCCACAGAAGGAACTGCTCAGGCCTTGCTGTCCTTCTGGGCCTCAGCATTCAGAGCTGCTTGCTCTTTGTAACCCACTCCACTCTTTCCTTGTCCCCAGCTGGATCACTGTTGGGAGGTGTGTGAGCTTTGATGGTGGGGGACATCATGTGGCCTCACTGGCCGGAAGGAGACTGAAACAAAGCACCTCTTGGCTAGGCCACCCTGTTACGCCCCACGCCCCCAGCCACCTGATTGGGCTGCCCATTGTCACAGCCACAGCCCCACACTTTGTTCCTCCACAGGGATTGGGGGTCGCGGCCTCCATGTCTTCCTTCCCTTAGAGCCTCGGGACCAGAGTTGAGAGATGGGGGCGAGGTCAGAGCTGGGCTCTGAGGCCAAGCGCCCATGGCAGTTTCTAGGCCTGACAGAGGGTGGTAGTGGGGCTGGGCGCCAACCACCTCTGGAAGAGGGGAGTGCTCAGGAAGAGCGAAGCACTGAGACCCAGGCTGTGGCCCCGGTGAGGGAGACAGGGCATGGACTTTTACCACACAAGTTTATTTAAATAAAAGTGAACACATATGCAGGCTGGGTGGCCCGAGGAGGTGGAGGTTGGGGAAGAGGGCACATGGGAGGCAGACGAACAGGAGGATCCAAGCAGAGTCTGTGTGGTATGAACCAAGCTGCGGGAGGAGTGGCTGGGGGCCTCGGGGCAGTGCTGGGCTTCAGTGCTGGGGGCCGGGGGCTGAGGGTCGGGGAGCCTGGTGCCAGGAGGTCATTTGCATCCCTCACATGCTCCCCTCCCTCTCCCTGACCACCGGGGCCTAAGTTACCCCGCCTCAGTCCCCTTATCCCTCTCCTGACATCAGCCTTCCCCTCAACTACTGGGAAGCCAAAAGACAAAATAAATAAGAACGGGTGAGTCCTGCCATAGCTCCCAGCAACAGGGAAGGGAAGTCAAGCCAGGCACACTGCCCTGGAGCCCCGTGCTGTCAGCCCTGGGAAAAGAACAGGTAAAGTGCAAGGAAAATCCAGTAAGTAAAAATATACCAATGACTTTGTCAAATATACAGCTGCTGGCTGTCAGGGGAGCAGGCAGCTGGCTGGGGTGGGGGGGGCAGCGGCATCCCCCCCCCCCCCCGGAGGTGTTGGCCGACACAGCGTAGAGACAACGGAAATAAATAGGGATACGGAGGAGTGGACAGAGGCCTCGCCCGCTGGGCCAGTGGCGGCAGGACGGGGCCTCCGCCTGCCCCCCTGCCCCATCCCCGCGAGCCCCGCTCCTCGCCTGACTCCCCAGTGCTGGGGCACTGACATGAAGTACCCGGCCGGCCGGCAGGCTGTAAGGAA